TTCTCTTAGGAGATGCATTGTGTCTGGTTCTGAGCCGCCATTGACGATTCTTTCCTCCATCCATTATTTCACTGTTTTTTTTTTTTAAGATTTTATTTATTTATTTGACAGACGGAGATCACAAGTAGGCAGAGAAGCAGGCAGAGAGAGAGGAGGAAGCAGGCTCCATGCTGAGCAGAGAGCCCGATGTGGGGCTCGATCCCAGGACTCAGATCATGACCTGAGTTGAAGGCAGAGGCTTTAACCCACTGAGCCACCCAGGTGCCCCTATTTCACTGGTTTTAATAAGATGGTGATATTCCTTTTTTCCCCACATAAAATATGTTTAATAAATATTTTGATCAAAATTAAACTAAGAAAAAAACCCCAAATAAATGGTTAGTAATGCTACTGAAGCAATCCAGAAGAAAATAAAATATGACAAACCAATAGAAAGAACATTAAAACTATGTCTAGGTAAGATGATGTGCGGGAGTCCCCTCTGTCTATCCAAACCGACCAGTTAACCTTGCAAACTTGCTCCAAGTTCTGTCTTCTCCAGGAAGCTTTCCCCATCACTTCTGGTATGCACCAGGATCACCTCTGAACTCTTTAAAGCTTCTCTTCTCCAGAACAGCTTTAATCCTTTCTACCATTGCCCACATGTCATCCTGGAGACCCTTTAGCATTATAGTCCTTCTTCTTCAGCTAAATTCCCACTCAGCGCTAGAATCTTTTTGACAGAAAGCACCCTCCCACCCATTCCAGATGGAAGACCTCATGCTCCTGCCTCCTTTCCTTTGCTGCTGGTGCCTTTACCTCCAGGCTGTTGCTGCTTCTCCAGTACTTACCACCTGCCAGACATTCTCCTCCAGATGTGCCTCCCTCCAACACCCCCGCCGCCCCCCTTCAGAACCTTCTTAATAAGAGCTGGTCAGATCACATTTTTTTTCTCCTCTGATACCTACAGCACAGCCCGCATTCCAAAGAGGATTAGAATGCAGGGACAGCACCTGATTCACAACTGAATTTCTTGTCTTCTTCCCACTCTTAACCACCACCCCCCTTCCCGGTGCCCGTCCAGTGCTGCCTTTCTCCTTCAGGCTGGGCTCAGTAAAATTTTTTTTTTTTCATTTTATTTCTTTTCAGTGTTCCAGAATTCATTGTTTATGCACCACACCATGCCCTTCCTAATCCCCACCACCAGGCTCACCCAATCCCCTCACCCCCACTCCTTTCCAAAACCTTCAGTTTGTTTCTCAGAGTCCATCAGTCTCTCCAATTTCCCCTAACTCACTCCTCAGCAAAGTTTTTCTCAGGAGGTTCCCCTAATGGCAGTCCTCCTGCATAGTCTGTGACTCCACTGACCATCCTGTCCTCCCCATTAGAGAAACACCCCCAGCAGACCAGAACTGCAGGAGCAGGTCTGGATTTCTCTCACACCCACCAGCACTCACCACAGTACTCAAAAGTTACTTGGAGCAGGAGTGTATAGTGAAGAACTCTCCGTGGGCTGTCTGTGGCTTTTTTTTTTCTTTTTCTTTTTTTTTTTTTTTTGGTGACAGCTATGCCTACATTTGGTACATTTGGAGAGAGAGTGATACTCTTTTTTTTTTTTTAAAGATTTTATTTATGTATTTGACAGACAGAGATCACAAGTATGCAGAGAGGCAGGCAGAGAGAGAGGGGGAAGCAGGCTCCCTGCTGTTCAGAGAGCCCAATGCGGAGCTCGATCCCAGGACCTTGGGATCATGACCTGAGCTGAAGGCAGAGGCTTTAACCCACTGAGCCACCCAGGCGCCCCGAGAGAGTGATATTCTAATTCCATCATTTCTTCTTCACTTATGAGTTACTTCTGGATAATGCCTGGGAACTAACTCTTTAGCTTGGAACTGTTTAAAAAAAAGAAAGAAAGGAAGGAAAGAATCAAGTGTTTTTTCCTGCCCTGGTAAGAATAGTAGATCAAAGATAATAGTTGACAAGAAGTTTATGTTCATAGAAGCATCCTGTAGTTTTGTATTGAAATTACTTCTGAGCTCTACTCAGTGCTTCTTGTAGCCATGACAACTTTATTTCTATAGCCTTCATCTCCCACCTGGACCTGCATTGTCCTCGACGCATTTTGTAGCTTTCAAGCACTAAGCCATTTAGCCTGGAGATTCTGAATTAACTGTTGGGGTGGGGCTCTGGCGTCAGTATTTTTTAAAGCCCCCCAAATGATTTTGGTGTGCAGTCCAGGAACTGCTGCTCTAATTCACCCTGCACTTAACATCCTGCTGGGAAAATATTCAAACACCAGCTGGGTTATCTCAGTTGCCAGATGCGTGAAATACAGATTCCTGAGCCTAACATTGGAGATCTCTGTTCCGTACTCATCTAATCTATGGCTGTAATCTACTGTAGGTTCCTCCTTTCCTGCCAGACTGGTTTCCTTGTATTCTTTTTGTCTACAGAAAAATGACTTCCCACCTCCCTCCACCCAAACACACATACAGAGGCACAGGACACATGATCTGGCAAACGATTTTTGCAGCATATTTATGGACAGGAGCCTGACAGGTGTACATTTTCCACACTGAAACATTAGCCCCAGGAAATGTTTGAGAATGGACAGAAACAGTGGGGTAGAGTATTTAATACTCTTGGAGCCAGCCCCCCTTCCCTAAAGCCACAATATTTGCTTATTCATTAGCTTGACTGTTTTCTTCAGAGTCTTTTTTTTTTTTAATTTGACACAGAGAGAGAGAGATCACAAGTAGGCGGAGAGGCAGGCAGAGAGAGAGAGAGAGAGGAGGAAGCAGGCTCCCCACTGAGCAGAGAGCCCGATGCGGGGCTCGATCCCAGGACCCTGGGATCACGACCTGAGCCGAAGGCAGAGGCTTTAGCCCACTGAGCCACCCAGGCGCCGCTTCTTCAGAGTCTTGAAGTAAATATTCATAGTAAGCATCCAAGCTTGCCAAAAGAGTATCTTTGGGCTAGTCGACATGACAGAAAAGCTCTCCCATCACTTGCCTTTACACTAAAGGAAAACAAGACCTGTTTGTGCCCTTAGCAGAGTCAGTGTGAGACATTTCCTAATTTGTGATCAATTTCAACACCTCTCTCGACACCAGCTGCCTGATACCACTGACGACAAAAATCCCTTCTGATGGATGGAGCAACCTGGGGCAGATTCTGATTAGAACTTCTTCCTCAAACCTCTTCCCAGAAACAGAGATGTTTAAAATTTTCACACAAATCAAAGGAAACTAAAACTGAAACACAGAATCACATTTTCAGAAATCTGACATATAACTACCCTAAAGAAGGCCCAGTTTACCAGGGAATTTTTTTTTTTTCTTATATAAACTCAGAAATGGAAATTTTTTCTAAGGGGTTATCCATTAACCAAGTCACAAGATAAACAGGATCTGGCTCCAGATATCACAGACACTGGATACTAGTTATTGTTTCTTATGTAGTTTTCTTATTTGTCAAAAAGGAAACACAGAGTGGAACTCAATCATTGTGGTGTTATGAAGTTACATACTTCATAAGATTATTTTTCCTCAGCTTAGTGTACACATTCAATCCCAATAAGAGTGTGTTAGCCTATTGGCCTTTTCTTCCTTGTGAACCAGGGATGATGAGAATATTCCCGAATCAAGTTTTACACATGGAATGGAGTTCGTAATGAGCATTGGACTGAAGGGCAGGAGAACTGCTTCTAGTTTTTCACTGGATTTATTTAAAATATTTCATTCCACAGCAGTCTAGTGGGAGGGGCACTAGATCTCCATCCACTCCATGTGAAAACAGGGTCAGGCAATTCTTGTGATAAACACAGGGTTACAAGAGTTAGTAAGTACAAGTCAGAGCAACTGACCCCTTCTGGTTTGCCCGGGATTTTCCTGCTTTAGCCCTGAAAGACCCACATCTTGGGACTCCTTTAAGTCCCTGGCAAAAGCAAATTCTTGGTCACCCCAGTGGCAGTCAGAGAATACAATCTGTACTCTGGGCTACAACCCTACTCTCCACAACATGCTGAAGTCATTACTTCTGATGTTCAAGTTACTTGTAGCTCTATGACTTGTTCTCTCAACTAATGGCTCTACAGACAGCTTTCGAGACCAATGAATAGATGATATCTTCATTGGTATTCCTCAAATAACGGTTGAAAGTAAATGAGCATTAGAGTAGGTATTCAATAAAAACTCATTGAATTTTAGACCATTCTTTAATCATAGTTAAATGACAAATTAGGCTTATGGGGGGGGAATTGGATCTATTAGGTTATTGCAATAACTGCAATATTGGACCCCTCGTTCTCAACCAAGTAGTTTGGACCTTATCTATGATGTAGTAGGAAAAAAAGGTGTTAAGAGCCCTGAGTACTAGTTCTGCTTTTGACACTATATGACTTTGGCAAGTCCCTTCCTCTGAACTTTAGGTAGCCCAAATGTAAAAGCAGGAAGTTGGGACAGGATGGTTTCTAAGCACTCTTACAGCTTAACATGCTAGAGAGTAAGCAGTGCTGTTAAAAGTTAAATAATGAAAGAATTGCATTACATTGTAACTTCAGTACAATTAAGGAATAAGTATTGTTAGTTCTCAAGGGTTACTTCCTCTTCTCAGCAACGTCTGTGAATATCTGATTCCTTCCACCAATGCCCAAAGTACCCCGACCTCCAGAGTTCTTTTTGCTCTCCCACTAGCAAGCCAAGAAAAACTGATTTGTTCTTTTAATTGATCTATAAGTTCCAACTTTTTCTTGGTAACTACAGATTTGCTCATAAGTTTATTGGACTGACTGACAATCTATTAAAAGCGGCTGGTCTTAAAACATTCTGTTTGAGCTGTGCTATGCTGAGCTGGGACTGTCACTTTTCTTTTGTTTATAATTAAACGTTAAGTCGTCGCACCTTGTCCAGGTATTTAGATCACCTGTCTCCCGATGACCACATAAATTAAGCAAACAAAAGAAGGAACAAATCGGCATCTTGAGAAACCTATTCTGCCCTGGTCCAAGGCTCCATACTTACCAGAGGATTTGGAAGAAGGAAGCCATAGTCTTCAGAAATGTGAAATCTTCCTAAAGATAATAATGGTGTTGTCTTCATATTCCGACTTGGAGGCTCCATAATTTTGTTTGAAGTATCTACATTAAAGCCTAAGTTCCTGAGTGCCCTCTCCCCCACAAATATCAAAGGTCTGGGGTAAGGGACCTTCAGAATAGCATCCTCCCTCTGAGGTTAGTTGTGCAAGTGCCTCAGCAACGGAGAAAGACCTTGGTCTGAGGTTGAATTCCAGACTGCCATGAACTTTCTCTGACACAAGGCTGAGTAAGCAATTAGAGACTGCTGATTAAAACAGGCAAACAAAACCACAACAGAAAAAAAAAAGTATTTTTTTTCCCTCAAAGGTGTAGTATATGAGAAGATTGGTTTTGAATCCAGACGTAAGTATGTTTTCCTTTGGAAAAGGAAAACTAAACTAGAACTTTGGTCGTGACTGATCCCATACACCCTGACAGTAACCTTAACTGTATAGACTTTTGACACACTGGGTCTTTATCTCCAAGGAGTAAACTGTTAAAACTGGATGTTAGTTCCATTTAGACAGATAATTCAGTGGCTGGTGATGACTGGCAAGGAGAGGAAGACTCCAAATGCATATCAGAACCTCAGAGGGTTTCGAACAACAACATACTCCAACACACTGAACAACATACTGTAACATACAATTGCTTTGATTTTCTTTGAGAAATAATGTTTAATCATTTTTCAAAATCATTAAGCACAATAAGGAAGGCATATATATTTTTAAGTTGAATGAATAGGTAATGGATATTAACAAACTTAAGAGCCTGAACAGATGATTTGACTTAACCAGCTCCCTTTATCCACCATCTTTTGAGAACCTACCACTAAGATAGGTGATTTTACCTATGAAGTACCTACTAATTTTATGATTTTACAGGTTAATAAATTGGGGCACACACATGTGAATAACTCTGTCTATTGCCACTCCACTAATTATTGGCCGAGTGAGGACTAGAGCTGAGGTACTTTGACTTCCAAACCTTTGCTGTGTTCACCAGATCAGGATACCAGACTGTCTTTTAAAAGTGCTATCAGAGTCTGAATTCACTTAACTATGCAGCCCAGTGATATGTTCCAGGCCATAGATCTGCACTATGGAAATTGTGAAGATTCTGCCTTTTTCCAAATGGACCCTGAACTTGGTTCATAAAGTTGTAAACAAATTTATTTGATGTATTTTAAAAGATTTTATTTTTTTTTAATTTTAAAGAGAGAGAGAGAGAGTTAGAGAGAGCACATGTACAGAAGTTGAACGAGGAGGGGAGGAAGAGGGAGAGGGACAAGCAGACTCCCCACCAGGCAGGAAGCCCTACATGGGACTTGATCCCAACACCCAACATGCAGAGATACGACCTGAATCAATGTCAGATGCATAACCAACTGAACCACCCAGGTGCACCCCCACTTAAACAGATTTATTTGGAAGCTAATTTATCTAAACACATCTTCCCCTTCTTCCCTTTCTCTAAGAGAAGTAGAAAAGCTAACGTGTGCCTGGTGGCACAGGGTTGAGCACGGGACTCTTGGTTTCTCGGGTCATGATCTCAGAGTGGTGGGATTGAGCCCCATGTCTGGCTCCAGTGCCGAATCTGCTTAAGATTCTTTCCTCCGGTCTCCCCCTCCCGCTCTGTTTCTCCCCCCACCCATCACGCATGCTCTCTCTCTCTCAAATAAATAAATAAGTATATAGCATCTTTTTTTAAAATGCTAAAAGCCGGAAGATCTCTGATCATTCATTGAACAGTTCCCATGGAAGTTTAAACTTTAAAAGTTGTATGTCAAAAGCAGCCCAATTGATTTATGGTTCATCAAACATCTGATAGCCATTTTTAGTTGTCTACTTTCCCTCCACCCAATATCCAACCAGTCTTGAAATTGTCTCCTATGCCTTCCAAGTGCAATATCTCCAGCTTTATATGTTTAATCATTTTGTTCTCTCCCTCATTTTCAGATGAAAAGAAGTCCCAGTTGTTTTTGTTGATGCTAGTCATGTTATTTTGCATCCATTTCCTCTGTATCCTCTCCAGAATTTACTGTAAAATGATAAAACTGTAGAATCATAAAATATCAGAACTAAAAAGGAACATTATAGAGTACATGATCTAGTTCAACACCTCACTAAATGTATGAAAAGACTGAAATTTATGGGCATGAAATGGCTTATCACGTGTTACCCTGGGAGTGCACATAAGAATTGGACTGGGGTTTTGACTTGCTGCTTCTCAGTCCAGAATTTCTCACCGTTGATTCAGTGAGGCCTACCTGGTGAGCAGGAGTGTGAATTTCTATCACCTACCTGCCATGAAGCTTTTCAACAGGTGGCTTAGAGCCTTCTTGTCCACCTCTGCAGGAAATAGTAATATTTATCCCAGAGGCATTTTGGGATAAATAAACGGGAAACCATTCAGTGAAGCGCTTATCAGACCATAGCAAATGTTGTTTACCTCATTTTCTTTTCATCTCATCCTGGAAATCCTTTTTTAATATGTTTCTCCGGTTTTCTCTCATAAAAATTCCAATTATATCCTCTTCTATTTCAATCACTGACTCCTTTTATTTTTTTACATTTTGGCCCGGAACGTATACATATTTGTAGTGTTATTACAATTATTCTCTACTTCAGTATGCTTATGCATTTCCATCTGATCTTTGCCATCAATTCTATCTGCCCAGTTTCCTAGCTCTGCATATTCAGTCTTGAACTTTCTGGCTCCCAAGGTTTAGATCTTATGGTACTTGTGGGTCAGTGAACATCTCAGGTCCTACCAGAAAATCATTCAAGCATTCTTCCCTGTGCGGGGCCTGGGTGGTGCCCTCAGTTAAACATCCAACTCCTAGTTTCAGCTCAGGTTTTGATCTCAGGGGTAGGGTCATGAGATCGAGCACCACATGGGGCTCTGCACTCAGTGTGGAGTCTGCCTAAATTCTCTCTCCCTCTCCCTCTGCCCCTTCCACTGTGCACTCTCTCTCTGTCTCTCTCAAATAAATAAATAATTTTTTTTTAAAAAAAGAGCTCCTCACTGTAAATTAAATAAAGTTCAAGTTTTCTTGATCTGGCATTCAATAATGTTAATTGTCTGACACCTTATCATCTTTCTAGCTGTGCAAAATTTCATAATCACTTTGGAATTCTTTCATATCCCATTCAAGTTCTTCCTGGTTTGACAGTTACCAACACATTTATCTCATCTTTTCTGTTAGGACTGCAAGCTGCTTGAAGAATTCATACCCGCTTTGCATCTTCCTTTAGCAGCATATGTCCAATGTTCGGTGCTCAAGAAGTCTTTGTTAAGTGAGTGGTCTCTCAGAGTCTCATGGTGGACCTCATATTTTTAGAACCAGTGTCTTGATGCCAGGTAGAAGTTTGTACTGGCCCCTCCCTGGAGACTTACTCTGCCCTAAGGAACACAGTGGCCACACAGTCCACGAAGCTCTGCCTGGCATCTTTCTTATTTACTAAGAGGAAGTTGGTGAAATATAATTGAGAACAGGAACTTCCTCTCCTAAGAGAAAGGTTTGGAATTTCAGAGTCTTGGGTTCTATAATTAGCTTTCCCACAGATTATAATAAAATCTGTGTGCAACAAGGGTTCTTTTGTTCTACTGGGTATTAGGGCCTTTTGGAAATGGAATGAGGGATTTTCAGAAAAGGAAAACATTCACAATTGAAATTTTTAAGATATCATTTATATGGTTATTTTATTTTTTGATATTTTATTTATTTATTTATTTATTTATTTATTTGAGTGAGAGAGAGAAACCACAAGCAGAGGGAGGATCAGAGGAGAGGGACAAAGAGACTGTGCTGAGCATGAGCTTGATGTGGGACTCAATCTCACGACCCTGAGATCATGACCTGAGCTGAAATGAAGAGTAGGTTTAACTGACTGAGCCACTCAGGCACCCCAAGGTATCATTTATATGTTTAATTGTGGCAACTTCAGATTTACTTAGTCTCAGTTTCAAACTGATTAAGTTCATCTGACTTGTCGCCAACAATCAACCCAAATAGCGCTGGTACACTGGGGCTATTCCTGCATAGCTCATTAATCCCTTCTTTGTTTGTAATTTCAGTGGGACTTTTCATCCTCTTTGATGAACCATGTGAGAATCTGGCATTTTGCCTTTTCTTCTTCTCTCCCCCCTCTATCCTTTTTTTTTTTTTCTTTTTAACTCTCCTCTTCTTGACATTTTCTAGGACATCTATTCTTTCTGGTTTGATTGTACTTAAAAATAATAAGGGAAAAATGGTAATTAATACTCAGTGATTTATCTCCTATGACAAGTCTTCTTCCACGAATTATCTCATTTAACCCTCACACAGCCCTGAGACTTAGGTCCTATTATTCCCATAATTTAGCTGAAGAAACTGAAGCTTATAAAACTTAAGTAAAAGCCTAAGGTCATACGTTTTATAAGTGGTGTCAGGACTGGGACATAAAAAATCTGACTTTAAAGTCACCACTCCTAGGGGAGGTGGAGGGAAGAAAAAATTAAAAATAAATAAAAATAAAATAAAATAAACTCACCACTACTGACCACTAGCAGGGCTTCCCCACAAAGCAGGGCTTCCCTGCTTTGGTTATTCTCTCCTGTTAATTCTAATTACAGTTTTCTGTTGGTGATCTCCAGAGTTCAGATCCAACCTCCCTCTCCTTACTTTGTTCCCTCTTCGGTGACTTCATCCATTCAAAGACTTTGGCTGTCATCTCTAGACTGATGATTCTCAACATTTTGTTTCTAGGTGGATCTCTTCTGCCATCTATTAGATGTCTTCACTTGACTGTTTCATGGAAGCTTCATATGAAAATCTTAATGCATAGAACATATCCTAAGTTAACTTTCATGAAGGCAGGGGCAAAGACTCTCTCTGTTTGTATTTGCATAGCTTCCATCCCATTGTTTTGAATTAATTAATTGGTCCCTTTCCCCACTAGTGAGCTCCTTAAAGTAAGGTTAGTGTCCTTAATCTTTCCATCTCTACTATCTAGCTTAGGGACTAGCAAACCATGTTTGCCTACTAAATAGTTACTGAACAGATGAGTAATTAGGGTAGAAGTTCTGATGTGTATAGGGTAAGATTTAACACCATTAATGAAATTATGC